CTCTTGGGAGTAACTCTTTTCCTTATTCCACATTCCTTTCTCAGCCAAATAATAGGGGACAACTCTCCAATCACTCTCCAGCTTGGAAGGAAAGCAGTGGGGAGAAGCCTCTACCTGTGGGTGACCTTGGGATGGTTGTGGTTGATGAACTTGAGACTCTTTGGGCCGTCTTTCTCTACTGGGTGGAGATAATGTGCTAAAGGTCCCTGCTTACTCGTGCTCCTGCTTCTTCTCTCTCTCTCTCTTTCTCTTGGATCTGCTTTTGGGCTTCCAGTCTACATGCAGTAAACAGACCCAGCAGGACCTGCCCATGGTGGGCCCAACCAGGACTCGGCTCTCCACATTCCAGCCTCAGTCTGTGACGGGGTCGGTAAGTTTGGTGCGCCCAGCCCAGTGGGCTCAGCTGTCATCACTTCAGAGAGGAAAAAAGAAGCCTCACATGGGCCTCAGACCCCAGCTATGTTCTCCAATCTATTAATAAAGCTGATTTTAATCCTCTCCTGGCCGTTGTGTCTATTGTCTGTTGGGAAGTGAGGTGGGAGCAGGGGCAGGATGGTGGGGAATATCTAGGATCTCTGCAACCTCCGACGTTGCCAGCAAAGAAGGAGTGGAGAGGCTGCTCCTGGCTGAACATCAGGGGATGTCTGCCATTGACACTGGCCTTGACAGGCCTTGCAAATGAGTGAGAGAACTTGGCACTTAATAGCAAGAAAGAACAGCAAGTCGATTGGAACCACACATCCCTATTCTTTACCTGTAGCTGATGCTTACCCCAAATATCTCTTTGGAAAGAGAACCAACGCCACATTCCTGGTTATAAAGGAAAATTCTTAGTAGAACAAAGGATATACTTTGTGTGAGTACCAAGTAATAAAACATGTCTTGCAAATTACAGCATCTCCTTCATCCATCACCTTAAATCTCCTCATCCACAAGAATTGACTTTGATAATGGGCTTTCCAAGGAGACTACCCTTAAAGGGAGACAACACACTAACAAACCCACATTAGTTTCTGCTCTGCTTGGCAGTTACATTCTTCATAATAAGTTTAAATCTTGGTGTTCTGGTTTAAGCATCAGTCTCCTGTAATTTCCTTAGTGTGAATCAGCTTCTTCCATCCTGGATCAGCCTGAGTGTCCTAACAACCCTGAGCTGCTGGTTCTGCAAAATAGCAAACCAGCCCCTGAGCAGTGGTGGCCGCATAAAGGTACTGCTCCCTGGTCGTAGGGTTACCATATAACTTATCGTCCAAACCAAGACTCTTGTGAGAGTGAGGGGGTGTTTTTAATGAGTATATCACAGCAACAAGTGTTAACTAGGACCATTCCAGACACTCTACCTGTAAGGCTTTGCCCAGTCAGCTAGATGCCCTCTGTCAACAACTTCTCCAGCTTGTTTCTCTAAAATATTGACAAGGTGAAATAGGGAAAGATTGCCCTATAATCATAGCTCTCCTACCTGCCATCAAGAATCAGATTAAAATTCACAAAAATTAATTATATCATGTCGTTTGGTGTGAGACTATAAATTGCACAGATTATTTTAAATGAGCCTTCTGGCATTGCATATTTAATGCTACACACTCAATTTGTTTGCCATTTATAATGTTGGATTTCTCATTTAATGTGAGGTGGGTAGAGGGTTAGAATAATCTCAATGCTGCTTTTGTTTCCATGGTCCTGATCCGCCATTTCCAGTCTGCACATACGGTATGTTGATGATCAGCTTAACTGTGAGCAACTGATTCACACG